AACAAAATAGCCACTGCTGGGTGTCTGAATAAAAGAGGATCCATTCAAGGGGCAATAACTCGGTCGTCTAATTTGGACCAATTTCAACAAAAATTTGAACAAACAAAATTCAACCACGGGGACATAAAGTCTGTGAATATGGTAAGAAAATCAAAGTCTTTGAAAAATATCAAGTTTTTAAAATTTCCGCCAAAAGTGAGTGAATGCAAAACTTTGCAACTTCTTAGACAACAACCATATTTTTCCATTACAAATAGTTACTAATGAGGCAGAGAGAAATACATTTATACAAAATTATATAGCCAAATAAACCCACGGAGGTAATGGCTATTTAAATCTCCAGGTGTAGACCATGTCTCTCGCTATAAGCTTCAGTATGCCACTGGGAATTTTGAATGACCCCCGTAGCGTGTTTCCGGGTCTATTCTTTGGCGTCATGTTCAGAATTGAGTTATAATTGTTCGATTGTTTGTGGGTTGTTTCCGTAGACTCTGTCCATACAAAAAAAAATACAACTAAAGATAATAACTGAAACGGCTCAAGTTTGGGAGAATGAGGTGACTATCTATTAGTAAACTTTTGGTTAATATGACGTTCCTAAAACCTTTCTTACAACTAACTACATTAGGTCCACTCTTGACGTGTGGAGTGGGGACCCTTTTTACAGGAACCAAGCCTCCACAGCTAAACGCCCCCCTGCCCTCCCCAAACTTCTACAAAACTTTCTCAGCACAGTGAGATACTCGTCTGATGTGACTGTCGTGGATTTGCTGTCCTTGTCCTGGAACCAGAACGTGCCAATCAGTCCTCTGTTGCTGAACGCTTTAAAGAAATACAATTTTGCGTTTTACCCAATTTTGGTTGAAATTTTTAAATTTTGATATTTGTCGAATACTTTGGGGTTGATTTTCTTCACATTTTCTTACTTGATGTTCTCAAGTTGAATTTTGTTTGTTCAAAATAATGCTGAAATGTGTGCTTAAATGATTGAGTTATTCCCCTTTATTTGGGTCCTGTTCGTTAGTTTTTTAAACACACTGTATATCAATACTGCCGAATTAGATACAATCTCAAACAACTACGGAAGCAACAACAACAACAACAACAACAACAACAACAACAACAACAATAACAACAACGACACTATCACCACCACCCCCATCACCACTACCCCCATCACCACCATCAGCAACACCTCATCAACCCACGATTCAGTGGATCGCTGGTCATTGCAATATCCTCGGCAACGATCTCGCTGACAGTAATGCCGAACTGGCAACAGCGCTGCCGGGACAGGCCGCCAAATTGTATATGAAAGTGTGTGCGCCCAGATAAA